TAGGCAGATGTGGTTGTTTGATGGTGTTAAAGGTATCCTCGCAGGATGGAAGCTGTTCCTAGTAAAGCTGCCTTTTGCAATGGACTGATGATGATGATGATGATGAATCCTACAGTCCTGGAAGTTCTGAACTCAGGTTCTGCCATTTGTCCCATCTGAATTCATCCAGTGGGAAAGGGGCTGCCTCTGGCTTAGTTTAGCACAGCCTGAAAGTTATATAGCGAAATCTATATCGAAGCTAAGAAAAATGCTTTAGAAGAAAAACTCCTCTCGGACATCCTGATAATGAAATTCTGCAACCAGACTACCTATGCACGTGCTAGAAAAAGGAAATTTATCAGCTCGGTCAGAAATTGACGCACTGTGATGTTCTCCCTTAGGAATGTGGCTGGTTCACATCCCTGCAGATGCTACTCAATCCAATTTCATTCTTCAACTGATTTTTTTCTCCTTTCCCTCTATAAACAGTTTATACGCTATTTTTGTAATTTTGCTGGGATATGAACTTGGACCTGATGCTTCAACACGAGGCAGGTTTGAAAGCTACGTGCGCTGTTAAGCCAAGCAAAGGATGGGATAGAGCTCCTGCACACTCAGATCACGAGTTACACCCAGGATGCACTTTTTAAAATTAGTTTAATTGGTTAAGGTTTTATCCCCCAACAATTTGCTATTAAGAGATGCATGGGCAAAATGGGGGAGAGAGTGGGGCACTGAAAATTGGCCCTGGAGCAAAGTAATAACTGACATGGGGAGACTCTGTCAGAAGCTGCAGCTAGGCTATTGCAAGGAAGGGAAGGGGGTTGACCTCCCTTGCTTTCAGACTGCAGCCTGACCAGGGAAGCCGAGGCAAGGGTTAGGGTGGACCCCAACAAAAACTTTTGCTCTTTGGTGCCAAGTCAATCACTGGGGGAAAAAAAATGAAGACCTGTTTCAATAGGGCTTTTAGCCAGGATACAGTATTAAAAGGCCTGCTGTTGCCGCAGTAAAGCTGTGCTACCCTTTCCAGACTTCTCATCGTTCATGGTCGGCTTCTGGACTGCTTGATGGGACTGAGGCTGGGGAACCCTTCTTTGGAGTTGTTCTCATCCTTCCTGTTGGGCTGTGTCCATAAGATGGTGCTCGGAAATTATTCTTTAAGATGTAGGCAGTTGTACCTGTGGCGTCTCACCATCTTCCCCCATACTGTTCCACAGCTTCAGGTTGACCCCTTTCCCCCACTTGGAGAGCACACTTGGTGATGACATTCAACTCTATTCCTCCTTATCTTATCCTTCAGGAAGCAATTCATACCCTTGACCATTCCCTATTTTTAAAAGAATCCATTTGGGCCCACAGAGTGTGTCTTTATAACAGTGCTTGAAACACCATTGTTTGAGCTAGTGCTAGCGGAAAGTTTGAGAACATTAAAAAATGAACCGTTTATACTGCTGCTGACTTAAAAGCCCACCCAAGGCTTTAGTAAGACCGAAACATACCACATATACAAATGAAAGCAACTATTAACTATATGTCTGATCAATCTAGCACACAGTAGGCGAGTCCCTGGCAGCCAGAAGCCACATGGCAAGTTAGGTGGCCTCCCAGAGGCTGCAGGAAGGGGAATCAAAGGTCAAACATGGCTAAAGTCTATTTTGTTCTTTAGTTACCCCTAAACCCACAAAAGGAACCACTCTGGGAGCTACAGAAGGGGTGTCAGGAGCAAAGGATATTCAGTCTGATCTACTTATAGACTGGATAAATATATTGGACAATGGCCATCCTCCTACCAGAGACCAAATACAGCTAGCCGTGTTGTTAGGAAAGTGTATTAAAAATCCATAACTCCATCAGTTGGCCCCCCAATTAAAGGAAATACATGTGCCTCTTTGGTTTGCAAGACTTAAGTGCTGATCTGCATGCAATGTATCTTACAGCCTGTGACAGCAGTCTTAGCTCACTGCCCTACTGTAGTTGGCACTGGGGGTATTTGGGGTGGAAGGAGTGGGTAGGGAGTATCATTTCCAGAGGTGCAAGAAGAAAAGGAGAGCTGAAATCAGCGGCAAGAATCGAAGGACCACCACCACATAAAAAGTTGCATCACGGGTAAAAACTCTGCAGAAGTAGAAACTGGAAAGTGAAAATGAAACCAAGGGAATTCCGGACGAAAATGATGAAAAGAAACACGGGTTATAAAATGCATGGAGAAGGATGGAAAACCATAACATTTCTCTGCTGGACCACAGAGTGGGTTCATCATATAATCCACAGCAATGGCTGCATCAGACACTGTCATGTCAGCCACACCAACTTATGTGCGCACTGAGCTTCTCTGCCTGGTGCTATTGCTGTCTGCTCAAGTCACAGCACTCAACTGCAACTTTCTGAAACTCCAACAGCAAAGATTTAATCGGCACAGCGTGGAGCTGCTGAAAGGAATGAGCATGAAGCTTCCTCAGGAATGTCTAAGGAAGATTCCAACTTCCAATTTTCCTACAACAGTTCTAGAAATACATCAGCCACAAATTGCCATGAAAACAATCCTCGAAATGCTTCACGGATTCTTGAATATCTTAAGTGATGATTGTCTGGAGAACGCTTGGGAGGCCAAGCTACGAAACAGGTCAGTCCCTTCTTTTCAATATGGGCATCTCTGTAGTAGGGTAGGCAGAAAGGTGAGGATCCAGGTGGTGAGGAAAGGTAATTCAGGGAGATTTTGCAATGGCTCCCTTACTATGGTTAACATCATCCTCTCCTGTTGTGTTTTTATAGTTTTTTATTTTTATTTATTTATATATTAAATTTGTCACTGCCCATCTCATTAGAAAATGACTCTGGGTGGTTTACAGAAAAGAGAAATATTAATTAAAAATACCATATGACAATTTAACAATTTATCCTAATAAATAGTAAGTATCTTCCAAGATAATTGAGGGTAACTAAAAATTATTAGGCTCAGGAAACGTCATCAGGGTGCCAGCCGCCCCCAGGGTTGGTTAAAACTCTTCTTGCCCCACACAAGCTGGCAGAACCAGGTCTTTAATTCTTTCCGGAAGGCCGGGAGGGTACGGGCCTGGCACACCTCTGGGGGGAAAATGTTCCAAAGGGCGGAGCAACGGCAGAGAAGGCTCTCCTCTGGGGCCCTGCCAGCCAACATTCTCTTCCTGACGCGGCCCGCAACATGCCCTCTCTGCCTGACCAGGTGGGATGGGTTGATGTGATGGGGGTGAGACAGTCCCTCAGGTAGCCTGGACCCATGCCATGTAGGGCTGATAACCAACACCTTGAATTGGACCCAGAAGCAAACTGGGATCCAATGCAGCTCCCGCAGCAAAGGTGTGGCGCGTGCCATCCTTGGGGCACCCAAGATCCTTGGGGAGCCCAATATTTATAGTTTTAATTATTGTTTTATATGTATTTATGGGTTTTTTAATTGAGTGTTGTACACTGACCAGAGTCACTTTTTTGTGAGATGGGTGGCTATATAAATATGATAAATCAATAAATAAAATAATTATTTCTCTCAAACCCTACTATTCTGTGATTCTAGGTTTCTCAACATGTTGCATGCACAAGCTGAAAACATTCAGAGGTGCCTCGAAGGAGAAAAAATGACACTGGGAAAAAGTAAAAAAAAATGGAAATACAAGCTGGGATTGAAGAAATACTTCCTCAGTATCAGAAATTTCCTTGAAGAGAATGGACTTGATACATGCACTCAGGAGATTGTAAGAAATGAAATGCAGATGGATTTCATATATATTGACAGACTGACAAAGAGAATGAAGAACTAAAGCACATTTTAATTTGGAACAATTAAAGCTGCAGGGTGAAGCAAGGAGCATAAAGATTCAATCTTGAACCAACTTGCATCCACTGTACATTAAATAATTTTGCATGTGTGTATTTATGTATTTATGTATTTATGTATTTATGTATTTATGTATTTATGTATTTATCATGCTATGTTTTATAATAAAAGTGTTTTTTAAAAGAAACTATACAGGACTCAAGGCAGATTTTATTCCAACTATTTGTCTCTGAGACTCATCATCACTTTGCCTTTTGTAAAATGGATTTTGGAACAGAAAGTTGGGTTCAATATTCACTTTGTGGTTTAAAGTTTGGCCCCTCCACTGGATTTAGGTTCTTAGAAACATCACTTTGTTTTTCCAGTGTGGCACAGTGGTAGAAGTGCTGGGAGGCCCACATTCAAGTCTATCCTCTGCCAGGGAGAAACATAAGAAGACTTTGGCCCAGCCGGTAACTTTTAACCTGAGGAAACTCTGGACAAGAGAGTGCTATGTAAGCTGTCCTGAGCTCCTGCAGGAAAGGCAGGATATAAATCTACCTTTGGAAAAATAAGTCTACTGGGACTCACAGCCATTTTGCAATGCTAAAACTCTCCCAGTAGGCCACGGAGAATTATTTGCTAAGACTGCCACAACACCCCCTTAGGAATCTAAATATACCGATTCCCCTCTCAAAATAAGGTTGGGGACTATATCACGCTAGAAACTAGGGCTGCGCATTGCTTTAGCTTTGATGGGGAAATGCTCAGGAAATGTAGGGGTATGAACACAGCACTTGTTTGTGCCCTTTAAAAGTTGTGCAGCTGCTTTAATGAGCTGGACGTGGGTGGTCCACCCATGTTCCAAAGTCCATCTTCCCAAATTATTCCACGGCTGTGCACAGCTGCACTAGAAACCCTAGATTAAATTCTGCAAGCCATCTGACCAGGGATTCAGGCCTCTCAATGATTTCTATGAAAGGGAAGGTGCGTAAGTGGAAAGGCATTCCCAGGGGTGTGCAGGCCACTGGCCTGCCTTCCTATTCTGCTGTTTTCCACATTGGTTGGACTTCAACTCCCTAGCCCAACTGGGGCACCTGGCTGGAGAAGGCTGATCTGAGGCTTTCAGTGCATTCAGCGCATTTCACATTGACTGAAATCTCGGATGCCAGCCAAATTTTAAAATTATTTGCTTTCACGGTCCAAAGACATACTCTACACCAGTGTTTCTCAACCGTGGCCACTTTAAGATGAGTGGACTTCAACTCCCAGAATTCCCTAGCCACGCTAAGGAATTCTGGGAGTTGAAGTCCACTCATCTTAAAGTGGCCATGGTTGAGAAACCCTGCTTTACAGTAACTAAGGCTTCCAAAGAATCTGCAAGGACACATCCATGTAAAACATGTTACATTAACTAAAGGGGAAATTACTAATTTGTGAAGAATGCTGGCAAGTTTTTAATGTGAGTGAAGGGGCTATAAGCAAAACAACTATTCTAGTTTGGCTGCAGTCAGTTTTAATACTGATCCTCAACTAGTTCATAAGACCATTCAAATATTTGTTCCAAAAGAAGCTTACTATCAAAGCTGGATTATATAAATTATTAAAAAAACAGATTTGGATATCAGTGATTTCATAACAACATGAAACAGACTTTATAGCACTGCACCTAGTAGAAAGCAGCAACAAATCAACATAGAACTTCATGGGTTATAGAGAAAGGCACCCATTACCAATGAGGAATCTTATTTCTTATGATTTCACAAAGAACTGATGAAGAAATCTCAAAAGAATAATGCTTCTGCCAATGATCCAAGAACGTCCTTCTCTATCAGTTCTCCAGATTGAAAACTACCTAAAGCAATCCTGCTTCAGACCAGATCTGGATCTAACAGGGGATCAGGCAGCTCTCCATTTCCTGGTGGTTTTTAGCAAGAAACAAACCATCTAGATGTGCAGGATTGGGCAAATATTTTTTAAAACCCACCTACAAAATAGATTCATGTTGAGCCAAGCAATGGTCTGCTTGTTAAATAAACTTAAGCTAAATCATAAATCCATCTAAAGTATTTTTAAAGGTTTTTAAATGAAAAAAACTTCAAAAAATTTTGTGCTGTATTCCAAATTAGTAAGTGGATTAAACCACTTATGAGGGCTACTGAAGTCAATTTAATTGGAGATTTCCTCCTCCAATTCTGTTTATTTTTTCTTTCAACAAAAGAGCAATCCTTGCCTATTCATTTACCCTGTGCGTTCTATGGTAAACGAACACAACACAGCACAGAACAGACGGAAGAGACCCTTCAGAGACACAAAAATGGGTTTATTCCAAGAGCCTTCCTTGACAGATCAATGGAGTACTGGAGATGACCTTGTTACACTGCAGCCTTGTCAAAACAAAGAACTGAACCTCACTGGTACTGCACGGGAAAAAAATGAGGCAAGAAAGATCTTCAGTAAATGCTTCCTTGTGCAAATGCTGGTACCCCAATAAATGTACCTGAACGAAACAAGAGCCTGAGAATATAACTGTGCGACACACCATCTCTTCTTTACCAACCTTCTGGCGAGAAGGAGAACACGGTACGTGCAGGTCAGGATACAGTAGTCATGCAGTGTGAAAAGAAATCTTGTGACTGATAGCAACCGTGACCACCTCCCTCTCCAATTTCTAAGCTTTTATTGAAAACTAGAGGAACTGCAAGGGCTGGAAGCGTGCCCTTGCTTTTGCAATTAAAGAAACAGGAGTGTTGAATCTTAGATGCCACTTTCCGAGTCATACCTCGTATACATTTAAAGGCTCCATAAATGTGAGAAAAACACCGCTAGAAAACGCTACTTACCATAGGCAGCCTGGATTGGAGCATTTGAAGATCATCATAACCATAAATCTGCTTAAAGACAGGAAAAACACACAACACACCACAAGATTAAGACACCTTTCATGATATCATCTAACCAGGAAAGATCTTTGCCTTCAATCCAGGGTTTGTATATAAACCAGGGACTAACAGCAATAGCACCTGGCATCTCCCAGATAATGCTGGGTTGCAATCCCCGTTATTCCCAGTCAGCATACTGGCTGGAAATTTTGGGCAACATTGGGGAAGGCTGGTAAAGAGCAACCATTTTAAGAACTGCTACTCTTTTAGGCCCAGCCTGTTCAAACGTTAGACTGTACACTCCGTTTTTGATCACAAAGCAATGCACCTTGTTGTACTGTAATGACATTATACTTGGTTAGCACTTTTATAAAGTTGAGTGCTCAAAGAAATTCACATGCATTATTTTCCCACACCATTATAAAAGGAAACAGTGGACGAGTATCCCTATATTGCTGCTGCAAATCAATTAAATTCTGGGTTGACCCTGGACTGCCCAAAAAGATTCAGGCCAGGAACAACTTGTAAACTTATGGCTTCCTCTTCCTTGCTCGGTCTATGGATTCTACAGGGGTACAATCCAAAGACAGGGTTACAACTGCACTACTCTTGTCTCCAGATTCAATTCATAACATCTCTTAGGAGTGTTGCTATCTATCTCTCGATCAATCGATACATACATACATACATACATACATACATACATACACCCACATCCTAAACCAATAGAAATATCAACCCAATGGACTCTACTTACTTACTATGGCAAAAGCCATGCCAAAGTACATTAACCTTCAGTTACAGGGCAAACCATGGAGCCTTATACCTGAGGTTCAGGATGGATCTAATGGGGCATGAGACTGGGCCTTCACCTGCAAACCCCATAGCCCAATTTGGCTAGGATCTTCACAACTGAGTGGTAAGGAAATGATATGACCTGGGGTGATCCACCACCAGCCCAAAGCCCTCCCCCACGGCTTGTTTGACAGAGACAGCAGCCAAGGCAAAGGAGGGAGGCACAAGGAAATGGCTTACTGGGTAGGCAGGCAGAAGTCCTCCAGGTCCCACAAAATACTGGTTATGTAACAAGGGTGGTACACCTTGGGGCAAGTTGGGGGGTGCTTTGCCTGTGAACCAAAAGAAATGCCTTTAAAAACACACTATTACCAAATGGAAAAAGAAGAGCCACAAGGCACCAAGCTGTGAGATCCTGCCTTTGAAAAGGCCTGGCGCTACCCCTGATCATGACAAAGGGTACAATGGAGAAGAGACGGGAGTGTGAAGAGACCCAGTGGGCCACCTTGGTTCTCACAAGCCTGCCCTACCAGATTTATCTTCCCCTCACTGCTGCCTCCTGTTATGCTCTTTCCTCTGACTAGTAGTAGTAGTCTTCTGGGATCACTGCACACAATTTGAGAGCTACTGAGAGGCTGTATTTCTCAGGGGTCCAACTGGGGGAGGGGGGTTATCTGATGCATGCTGGAGATCTTTTCTCTAGCATAAAAGGAAGCACACTACCTTTGAACTGGCAATAGAAAGTTACATCCATCTGGTGCCTTTATCATTATCAAAAAGCATTTATTGTGGGGGATTCTGTTGCTAAAATTATAGCTAAAGATAATGGAATTTGGTTATGCACTATGAAATTATTTTATTCAATTTGGGTACCACCCAATTCCCAATAACTCTGTGGTTCAGCAGAAAACATGAAAATTATAAAATTATAAAAACAAAATGGCAATAAAAGCAGCAAAGATGGAGAAACAGGGCAGGAGCAAACACACACCCACTCGTCAAAAGGGGCTACACCCATCCTAGCCAAAAGCCAAGATGCCACCTGGATCTTGGGGGGAACCTCATTCCAGAGGGCAGGCACTATGATAGAGAAGGTGTGCTTCCTGAGTCCCAATAGATGGGCATTGTTTAACTGAAGGAACCTGCAACAGGCCAACTCTGCCTGATCCAAGCAGCTGGGCAGAGACTTGGGGAGGTAGCCAGTTCCTCAAGAACCTTGTCCAGCTCCTTGGATCACACCTGGAAGAAAACTGGCAATCAGCGCAAGTCACGGAGCAGAAGTTTTACATGGGCATACCAGGGCATGCCCTTCACTGCCCACGCTACTGCAGTCTGGACCAGTTAAAGCTTCTGGGTGGTTTTCAAGGGCATCCCCACATAGAATGCATTGCAGTAGCCAAGCCACAAGGTGACCAGGACATGAGTTGGTTTCTGAAGGGCCTTCCAATCGAGGAAGGGGTGCAACTGGCACACCAAGCAAAACTGTGCAAAGGCCTTCCTGGCCACAGCTGCTACCTGCCCATCAAGCAGCTGTGAGTCCAGGAAGAACCCCAGATTGGGCTTCATTCACGAATGAGGAAGTGCTACTCCATCCAAGATCAGAGACAGAATGTCCCCAGACCTGGTTGGCCCAAACACCCACAGCCACTTGGCCTTGGTAGGTTTCACTCAGACATGGTTCCTCCCCTTCCAAACCTGCAGAGCCTCCAAGCACTGAGACAGAACCTCAACAGCCTCACCTGGCTGGCCCGGGGTCAAAATATATAATTAGGTATCATCAGCATACTGATGATGCTGAACCCCAAAGAGGTGGATGACCTCACCCAGTGGTTTCATGTAGATGTTGAATAAGAGGGGAGAGAGAGTAGATCCCTGCAGCACCCACAGAGGAGGGGCCTAGGCAACGATCTCCCTCACCCCCAGCCATCATTGACTGAATATAGTGCCATCTCCAGTCCCGAGAGCCAGCTCAGGATACCATGATCAGTAGGCATCTGCCACAGGTCATTAACAAGCATGACCAAGGCTGTCTTAATACTAAATCCCAACCCGAAATGTGATTGAAACGGTACTGAAATGTGCCCTAGAGAAAAACAAATGTATTTTGGGAAAGAAAATATACTTGAAATTTGGACGACTGAGAATACTGCTTGCACGTTTCACTAATATTAACTGAAAATTATCAAAATCAATAGAGGTAGATGGATTTTGCTGAAAAGAAAGTCCACCATGTTAAAACTGAAGAAGCAATAATTCTGGCAAAAAGCTGCCACAGCTTCATAATGAAGATGAAAGACTGTGCAAAAAAACCTTCTCTGCTTATGGGAACTCTAATCAACACAGACATCTTCTGATATAAACCATATACTGGCAGCCCGCATTCTATCCCTTGCCACTTTCTGCCCATTATCAGAGCAAATACTTGGCCCCAGGCATACCTGTACCCATGCAACGTGGAGAACCAAGCAGAACTGCTTACTTCCCAAGAAGGAAAACAAAGTTCTGGGTAGATTATGCTAACAAAAAACTGGAAGTTCTATCACCAATAACTTAGTTATGAACATAATTCTATTTCCATGATTAATTTTTCAAATAAATGGAAATATTCTAGCAAGAGAATTGGAATAATATGGATTCCATTCTGCTTTCTCACAATTGTGAGGATACGCTTGTTTATGGTTGCTAGTTAACCCTTACATGTAAGAATTTCTCCATCAAATATTTCCACGCATTAAAAAGCCAGGCAACTTTTATTCATAGGCCATGTGCAAAGCATGCTTTTTAAAAAGGCAGTCTTTCAGAAAAGGCATAATTTTTTCAATGCCGTTAAGAGGTCCCCAATGGGCAGACCTGCAGGCTGAAGTCCTCTCTTGCTATATCCATGGGATCTGTTAATATTGCGAACCTGAAGACACTAAGGGAGCTGCCCGTGTGGTGGGAATTGGCAGAGAGACGCTGGTCGCATTCAGGCCTAGGCTGTTGGTAGTGCTGGCCATGCTGGTGGCCGAAGAGGTGGTGGCCACGGTTGAAGCAACTGAAAAGGTGTTGGAGGGCGGGAGTGCAGCGGCATTCTCAACACTACTGTGCTGGAAAGAAAAAGCAAACACATGAGGTTAAAAACTGGACAAAGGGCACTGCACCAATGAAAATGTAAGCTTCATCAACAAATGACACACAAGTGACAAAGGCTTGCATTTGACTGGTACGTTTTTGAAGCTTGGTCTTGGCCTGTTTTTTCAGATTTGGGGAGGCATTAAGGGTGGGAAGGTGGGAACTGGAGCAGCCACTTAAAAAAAAAATTAATGTACTGTATAAACTTCTCCTAAGCATTTCGGAGCTTTGCTTTAGGCACAATACCAAGTTTGGCCAATTGCCACCAGCCTCTAATTTTGACATCCAGTTCCAAGATCACAGAATTTCTGCTGCCAACTGATTTCAAGCCCAGGTCTCGAATGTTCCTCCTATCGAACCACTGCCCTCTGAGTTAAAGTTTCTACAATTCTAATCCTTCAAAAATAAAAATACTTTTTTCTTTCAGTAATGTCCCCTTTGCTGTGTAGGAAGCGCCACACCTTGAAGCTCAACAAGGAAGGGGAATTTGTTAGCCCACAGAAGCAACTGTCTGGGCACATAACACAGAGTTCTTGAAGGGCAATTTTCTCAATATCTAGTCTAAAGGAAGGCATTGGTTTTCATCATGAAACAAAATTCATTTAGCAGCTTTTGAGATCATGATAAAAAAGCTCAGTTGCACAAGTTAATTGTTAGGATAAGAGTATTTGTGACTCAGTGCAGAAAATCATCTGGTTGTTAGTCAATGAAACAAATAAGACGCTAACAATGAGTCTGATAGAAAGCAGCGTACATTTCTTGCTCCAACTCTGACCCCTCCTACTTAGTGACACAATAGATCAGTGGAACTTGGAACCAGGAAAAGCCATAAAATGAGGAATGTTAGAGTCATAAATTCCTCTTTTGGATCTTAAACAGGGGAATATGTATGGAATTCTGGGAGTTGAAGTCCATACATCTTCAAGTCGCCAAGGTTGAGAAACACTGCTCTGAAAAGTGACAGAAAAGCAGTTAAAGGCATCCCTGAACAGATAGATGGAAATCTATTTCAGGGAAAATAAATGTCAATAAAGATGTTAAGACGTAAACATATTTTATGATTTGGGGGAGAAGTTGTTGTTATCTCACATTAATTTGCTCATAAATATCTGTCAAGCATGAGATATGAACAAATTCAGAATAAATCTGGGAGAGTATAAATGATGCTAAAAACATGTCAGCTATCCAAAAGGGGAACCACAGATTCTTTCCTGTAAATACATATGATTCAAATAGACAAAGCAATATACTTAAACTTGCACTGATCATTTGAATGCTAAGCTGTTGTGGTAAGCTAACTTAGCAATATTTTAGTATGATTTTTGCCTGTTTTAAAACAACACAATAGAACTGTGTTTTAGTAGCAAGAGGTAAGTTTTACCCTAAAGTGTGATTTAAGACACCACAAAGACATTCGCTTTCTGTGAAATTAAACAGGATACTTCAAACATTCTGACCAAAGAGCAGTCTACCACTATATGGAGAGAACTCACCGAATGTGGTGAGGCAGAAGAGAGGCTGCTTTGATGATCTGAGAGAGAACTGAGCAAAAACCAAGGACAAGAGTTATTTTACATGCAGTCGATTCTTATCTAAGCATCTCATAAAACATTCCTGTCTCTGGTCTCCCTCAAAGTCAACAATCCTGTGGAGAGTGTCAGCTCAAGAGGTTCAGGCCTCTCCTGAGAAGAAACCATTACAAGAAAACCACCCCACAAAGGTCTACCTACATTGTGAAAGGTCAAGCTACTGAAGCTTTATGGGTTCAATATTGCTGGCCAAGACCTCCAAAGAATTAATCACCAACTCCTTCCCAATCTAGCCCTTTCCTGTTGCATGTGCTTCACTTGCCAGAACTTCCCCAGCCAACAGGGCCATTGCTGAGGATTCTGGGGGCCCCTAGGCTGAGGAAGCGGTTAAGGCCTTCTTCTTCCTTGTTCTTCTCGCTAGTACCAGGCCAACCAAGAAAAGGGGGTAGTTCTCTGATTCATTTTCCATCCTGAGCCTTAGCAGGATGGGACCCTGATCAATGACATAAGCTAACTTGTATGTCTGCATGGTCTGGAGTGTTCAGGAAACTGAAGGGATCTCCATGGAGCTGGCCGCTAAGTCTCCCGCTCACACAGCTATTGCCCACAAAAACCTCACCCCGTATCTTCTACCGTACCTGCTTAACTGGGAGAGGGAGCTGTTGGCCAAGTCATTCGATGGAAGTGCTGCTGTATGAGGTGGTGCCGAAGGCAGAAGCAAGGAAGTGGCAGCCGTGGTGCTTGGCAACGAAGAACCTTTGGCAGGTAGTGATGGAGGAGAGGTTTCCGGCTTTGATGTGGGAACTGATGAAGTAGCTGAAAAGTTGGGAAACAGTTTTCAGAGAAGGGTTGAAACAGCACAAACAAGACTGTGGGCTGAACAGTGTTTGTGCAAGAGAGAGAGGTGGGGAGAGAAAAATGGAAACATATCCAATCATTTGTGCCAATAAGGACTTGGGCCTGCATTAGTTTTTTTTTTTTTTTTTAGGAAGTGTGTTTCTGCTACGGTACAATTCCCTCTCACCGAGCTCAGGTGCCCTTTCACTAGACCTGTCTATCCAAGCTACTTCCAGGTGGAAGCAGAAGAGAATGATTGAGCCATACTGCAGTGAGACTTCTCTGTAATTAAAAGTTGCACAGGCGAAATAGTTTCATCCCTTCTTGGTGAAAAAAAACCAAATAAAGCTGCAAGACAGTCTATGCCACCATCGTTATTATTGATTTATTGAATGAAGACACACCACCATTCAAAACACAACTATTTTAAGGAGATAAGGGATAGAAAGTTCACTTGCTGCTTCTGATTTCTAGGGTACTAAAACTGCTTTCTCCTGCTTGGAATTCAGCAGTTTTGGAGAAAACAAAATCCAATATTCAGGGTGAGGAAGAACCTGGCTGGGGAAGAGCAACATGGATCCTGTGAAGGAATAAAAGATTTGAGCTGTAATTTAAACAGTAAGCTACAGCCGGGGGGAGGGAAGGGGAGGTGGGGACATGGACTATGTTTTTGTTCTACTGTGAGCCATTCTGAAGGCATTTTAAGCTAAATGGGGAGAGGGAAAACACTACATATAAAATTCAACCACACTGAAAATGTCAGCTGCTAGCCTACAACAATATTGCAACATGTGGCAATCTTCACAATTAGCTTTTAATATTTTGGAAGCAGTACAACTACATGTTAATAAATAAATAAATGGAGACACTCAACGGTCAACTGTTGGGGGGAGAGATCTGTGAGGCAAATCACCCCACCTGCTTGCCAAAGCAAGGAAAAAACACAGGTGTAGATTACACAGAGAAGCACAGCCACTGAAAGTCTTAACTACAGCGCTAAGGTTTCATCTACTTACTGTCAAGAGCTGGCTGTATTCGAACACTGTTGTGCCCATTCTGAAAGTCAAAGGAAGGAATTAGTGGGGGTTCTTATCCAAAATTAAAGCAAAAAAAAAAAGTATATCAAATGGTCCTCATGTGTTCATTGTGATTCCTCTCCAAAAGTTAATTTCAGTTAATGTAACAAGGAAAGGATTCAAAATTAATCACGGAGTATAAAATATGGAGTTTTCTTCTCCCTTTCTCAGAGTTTTGGAACTTGACTGAAGCTGAAGGTGGGGAGATCTGATTTGATCCACTGAAAAGGAAATGCCTTAACAACACCGAATGCAACTGTGGGTATGGAGCATGTGGCAATCTTGATTTAGATGCAGAAGAGGGCTATCAATAGCTCTTCCTCTCAAAATCTGTGGACAATCTGCAGAATCAAAGGCCACAGAACCTAAACACCAGCTACCAGGAATTACGGTGGAAGAGGCCACATATTCCTATCTTGCTTGTCAGGTTTCCTGAATGAATCTTCCTTGGCATGTGGAAAAACAGAATAAATCAAATAGACTGATAGATTAAGTGCCATTAAGTCAGGGTTGACTCTAAATGACTACATGGATAGATTCTGCCTGGACATCCTTTCTGAGGCCTTCACTGCAGCCATCGCTTGCCTATGTGTGGCATATTTCTTGTCTGCTGGACCCTTGGCTGTTGATGACCAATCCTGAAAGGAAGAAGCTATCCTCTGCTTCAGTATCTTCATGATCAGAGTTCTCCTGCTATTAGGGTAGACTTCTATGCTGTTGTAGCCTCATCAGCCAGGAAGGGAAACAGATTGCACTCGGTAGTATAGACCTAAGTATTTGGTTGGTTAATTTGCAAAGGTTGCCAAAGACCCATCATCTTTCTGCAGATTTATTTTGAAATTCATATGGTATTCATATGTAGCCAAACTAAAGGAACCGAGTTTGTGGTAATGAGAACAACTTGTAATGGAAGGCAAGGCAGACCTTGTTCAAATGTTGTCAAATTTTGCAGTTTTCATAGGATAATTATACACCCTATGCATTTTTGTTAATATAACTGTTTCAGATTTGGGGGGAGGGGGGCAGTTACTGAGAAGTGGCACAGCAGACAGGTAGCATCTGCTTATAACTTTTTTGGGGGGGGTTAAAAACTATAGTTCAAGCAAGGAATGCTTCTGGCTGTTAGATGATGCCTGAGGAATCTAATCAACTTACTGAATGGCAGTAGATATTTAAGTGCAGAGTTGTTATAAGGATAACTGGCCACATAAACACATATACACAATTTGAATATTCATATTGTGTATCAGCTAGTACATACCAATGGAGCAAGTGATCAAAATTTCAACCAACAGTATAAGGAAGAAAAAAATTGATTCTTAGACACAGCACCCATATGACTGAGGCAAGAATGGGTAGAAGTATCTGAATTTGGGATGAATCTGGTTACTTGACGATATAAGGCATCATGGTTTTATGACTGTAATATTATAATTGCTGGCTGTATCTTTTATCTTTGAAACATCGATAATTTTCTTGATTACCGTATATTGTATGTTGTTGCTTGTAAGCTGTTTAGTGCTTGGCAGCTGAAGGGGCATAAAAACACCTTAACAACTAAATACAAATCAACAGTTGTGAAGTTCATCAGAAGGCAACAAGCACCCTCCTCTGAGAAGTCCCCCAATGACAATCGATGGCCATCAGTGGTGTCGCAGTGAGCACACTTACCATGACAGCAGCTGAGGCAGGTTCTGACGGAGGCACCGAACTTTGGTATGTCATCCTGTTATGCACAGAGGCCTGGTCGTAGGAGGAAGTTGCCGTTACAAGGCTAGTGCTCTGGGAAGAGCAGGTCAGGCTGGATGTGATGACAGGGGTGGTATAGGTGGACTCCTGTACTGTATTGGACATTGGCAAAGAGGTATTCAAAGGTTCACTGAAAAAAGTAAAAGCCATTTATTGTCGTGGTCAAGGTTTATTCAGGATTCACTATGCAACTAACCAACTATGCTAAAATGGATATACAGCACGGAATATGTTAACAGGAAAAATCTTGGCCAAACATTTCCAGAACTCAAAGATCAAGTGGCCTTACGAGAGGTTTGAGTCTTGCCAGAGTCCAGGCAAAGCCAAAACTTCAAGGAAACCCAGCAGTTTATTAACAATGTTCTTCCCCCATGGCTGTCAGAGTCAATGGCGGTACCCTGGGTTTTTCACATCAGCACCATATTCAAAACATAAAAAGAAGTTATACAAAGGGTGAGGACAGATATATTTTTATCCTTCGGAAGCAACATTAGAACCAGGATCAGGACTTCTCAGTCTTGAAATTAATGCCAAAAGAAAGCTATGTTATGTGTTGTGTAATGTTACTTACTGCTCTGCCCTAATATTTGGAAATCCCCTTTCAGTCTGGAATGTAAATTTCAGGTACACCTCAGAGATGTTCTTAGCCTTTAAATGGCTGGAAGCCACAAATCAAACGAAATGAAGGCTACTGTTTCACTTATTATTATATTAAAGATACATAAGCAAATATTGTTACTATGCTTACTCCCATGTGCATTTTCCCCTTTTGCCCTTCTGTCACAAGGGACATGATAGTTTGGTGGCCACTCTAGAGGGTCTGTGGAGAGGATTCTCAAGGCTCGGAGAGTCACACGTTGTAGTGTTGAGAAGGTTCTATTAGAATCAGAGGAGGTCAACTCTGAGCCTATTAGCCAAGATCATTTACTCATCTGTGCTAAGGGGCAACGTAGATATTAGGGACAAGCTGCTGCTGAGGGAGGGCGTCTTCCATTCAACATACCCTGTTTTATGAGCTTCCCAGAAACATCTGGCTGATCATGCTGACTGCTTGTCAGATAGATTTATGGCCAAATCCAAGACTCATGTGCTATCAAGTCAGGGTTGACTCTTAATGACCACATACACAGACATTCTTTAGGATGTTCTATCCCCCACGTGCCCATCCAAGCCTTGCCCCCATCATCACTGTAATTGAGTCCATCCATCTTACTGCTGGATGTCCTCTTCTTCACTTTTCTTCCACCTTTCCTAAGATTACTGACTTTTCTTTGCAAAATGTGTCCAAACTATGATAATTTGAGCCTGGTCATTTGTGCCTTGGGAGAGAACACTGGTTGTATTTGTTCTACAGTGGTGCTTAAATATTTGTGAACCCTTTTGAATTTTCAGTATTTCTTCATAAATATGAGAGCCAGTTTGGTGTAGTGGTTAAGGCACCAGGCAAGAAACTAGGAAGCTGTGAGTTCTAGTACCGCCTGAGGCACAAAACCAGCTGGGCGACCTTGGGCCAGTCTCTTTCTCTCACCCTAGGAAGGAGGCAATGGCAAACCACTTCCAAAATCTTGCCAAGAAAACTGCAGGGACTTGTTCAGGTAGTCACCAGGAGTCAACACTGACTTGAAGCCCCCCCCCAAAAAAAAATCTGTTCTCCACACAATTCCTAAAGCAGATAAAAAGAACCCAATTAAAGAGATGAGTCAAAAATATTATACTTGTTCATTTATTTATTGAGGAAAATAATTCAAAGCTACATATTTGTGTGTGGCAAAAGTATGTGAACCTCTAAGATGATCAGTTCATTTGAAGGGGAAATTGGGGTCAGGTGTTTCAATCAATCAAAATCAGACAGCCACTGCTCCGACAGGAACACCAGATCTGGTGTGTGATCATATCAGGAAACAGGCTGGCCTCTTTTTTTCCACTTAAGTTTAACTTGGAACTTCCACACAAGCAGTTCATGATCCATTCTACAATTAGCCCCTGGCCATGTCTTTGCTGTTATAACTGAACTATTCCACTTCCTTGTGCCAATAATATAGTCAACTGGATTTCTGTGTGCTCCATCTAATGATACCCTTACATATGGGCAATGTCTTGGTTTTTGAAGACTCTGTAAGCAATGAAGGAATCACTGGATTGGCAGAAACTGATATGATGTTCTCTCGTTTCATTTCTATTTCTTAGGACATACAGTCCAATTACATTTGCCTTCCTACTATTTCCAGCTTTGATATTCTAGTCTCCAACCACAAGCAGTATTGCTTGTTTGCATGTTCTGCCAATTTCAGATTGAATTTGGCCATAAAAGTAGTTATGCTGCAAATTTTGGGTAACCGTTATATTAAAGGGTTGTCCACAAAGTCTAATTGATATTATTTGGTCATTGACTGCACTGTAACCAAGTACAGTTCTTGCTATACCTTTCCTGACTATGAAAGCAACACCAGTCCTTTGTTTTTCATAGACAGAAAAGCCAACAGTGTGATCTTCTGACTGAAAGCGTCCACTTCCAATCCACCTCAATTCACCGATGCCTAGGATGTCAATATGTAGCTGATTCGTCTTTCCCTGTGTTGAGCTTTCCCTTGTTCATGCTTCTTACGTTCCATGTTCCCACCGTAATTCTGTCTTTGCAGCTTCAGACTCTCTTTCCTGCACGGCCACATCAACAACTAGATGTCCCGAAGGTTTTAATTTACCCATATCATAAACACACCATCAGTATTCTGAAAGATTCTCGGTAGCACGTTGAGCACCATCCGACCAGAGGGGCCATCATCCAGCGCTATATTGTTGATCACTTTTTCTATCTATCTATACTATTTTCTATCCATGTGGTTTTCTTGGTAAAATACAGCAGTGGTTTACCATTGTCTTCTCCCGAACATTATGAAATGATGCCTTTGTCATTGTCACAAAAGTGATCATCTACCTCCAGCATCTTCCTATATCACTGCTGCCCAGTATAGGTGCCTGCTTGCTTTAACTGGGCAGCTGGGATGACCTTCACGCCTTGGGTGACCTTGCTGGGAATCTATGCTCTTGGTAGATACTTCTCGTGTTTTTCACTCATCCCTTCCAGGGACAGTGCCCCCCACCCGCCCGTCATGATGAGGTAGCCTAACAGGAATTGACAGGTTCTTCTTGCCCCTCCCCTGCAAAAAGATGACTGGCTTTTCTGCAAATTAAACAGCAATTCTCACCAGAAATACTCACAAGAGTATTTCCGACACACACAAATCTGCTTCTTAATCAGAATACAGATTAATGTATTTGCACTTTATTTCAAACAAGACTTCTAAATCACTCCGTTTCAAGGGTGTTGATGTGTGAGAGCAAGACCACACCACACAGCAACTGAGGTCCTGCAAATTTCCATCCAGTGCATTCTCCTTTATAGCACTGCTATGATTCACACTCTGAAAACATGCAAATCAATCAACAAATTTCCTGAATGTTAGAGTATCCAGGCACCACTGTTATAATCCCTCTGCCTCAGTGCATTCGATCTGCCTCTTGAGACTGAATATTAAACTGCAGATCTCACAGCTGAAGCCTCTGGCCTACTTTTCAGACTTTTGTGCTTTTTGTAACATCTTTTCTGACTAAACATTTCAGGGGTTAGAGTTCTTTTAAATCTTTTACACATTTTTCATTTGTTCTTATTTGTTTATTTAAATTGATTTATATAACTGTCCATCTCACATTTCACAACCAACTAAAACACAAAGGGGCTGATGAAAACACCATACACCACCAGCCTGGGCTCAATTATTCTCCCAACCCCCATGCCTGGGAAAACAGCCAGATCTTTAATGCTTTCCAAAAGGGGAATAGCGTCATGGCTACCCTAAGCTTGGGTGGGAGAGTGCTCTTAATCCTGTTATTGCCTTATTATGTATTTAGCTTTCGTTTCATATTTTTACTTTGTGGACTACCACTATTTGGATTTTTCAGATGATGAAGCTCATTTTATGTAGTTGTTTTTCTCCCCTGCTTCCTTTTTCCCAGCATGCCATCTTGTGTAAGCCATACTTCAGTCCCAACACCATCCAAGAAGAAATGGATGCCGCCAAGCCTTCTGGCAGCTCTTATCCCTTCTGGCAGCCTGATTTTCTAGGTAGGTCTTTTCAGGAATTAAGAGAGAAGCTTAATCACTCTTAAGTTCCTGCTTCCCAAATCGTCTGATTTCAAATAAGCTCTGTGTCAGAGCCCAGAAGAGTCATCATAGCAACACTGCTGCACAAATGACATAATTTGTGCCAGTCACATCATGCATCATTGTGATGACGACATGCATGAGGATACTGGCCTCTCCTTGTCCTCCCAACCTCCAGCCTTGGAGTCAGTGCCTAGACAGAAGTCAACTTACTTTACAGGCTTCGTATACAGGATATTATTGGGTGCTGGGCTGTTTTCATAGCTTGAAGCAGGTCCAAACTCTGAGAGAGAAGGTTCCAGCCCAAATTCAAGTGCTCCAAACTGCACATTTAGCCCAGACACATCAGTAGATCCAGGCATTTCCACTGCAGAGGAAGGGATCTGCAAATTGATATAGCAGGTTGTAATCACAGATGCCAGCTGGGAAAGGAACATTTCCTATTTAATACATGAATCATCTGCCATTGAAAAGGATCTGAAAATTAACATAATTCAACTCAACCTGGTAGCTAAAACTTCAGAATGCCAAGGAAGCTCACAATTCACCATCACAATCACTGAAGCAAGTTCTCACTGGGGAAAAGAAAACAGAACCTACACAGGAAGGAAGCAGTTTGGTGGCAGACCTAAGGAGCCCTGAGCTTTTCAGAATGCATTTTACTTGCTGCCAGTCACTGAAAGTTAATTTAAATTTAGTCCACAGAAGTTTCACATCAGGAACAGACTCCCCCAGTAGGGTGTCCCCCTAAATATGCAAGAAACATGGCTCCAAAAATTCCCAAGAAAAACACCAGGGAAGAATCCTCCAACGCCAGCAGGCTGAGTTACAGCAAGACAGAGTAAAAGATTTAAATTTTTTAAAAATTGGCTCTTCCCTCTAATAAAGAACAGATTATCTTTAAATCATTGTCTCTTTGTGCAACCTTAGGGGCACAGCAGATAAAATGTGATAGGCTGACTTCATCTATGTCCAGATCAGCTGCCTATCAGAAGTCCTTCTACTATCTTGACCCTGCAGAATTACCCACTTTTGAAGCCGGGGGCATCCTCCGCTTCGACGGCTTGATCTGCTTCTGCTGTGTTTGATGGGCTGGCACCACTTGACTCTCTGGAGACAGGCTGGAAAGCGGCAATGTTTTGCTGCCAGCTGCACAGCTGTCCACCGGCAAGGGCTCTTGGGCTTTTTGTGGGGCAAAATATTCCAGTCCAGGTGGAGGGGCGGTGGCTGCCAGTGGGGGCTGCTGCTGCTGCTGCTGCTGCTGCCGCTGGGTCAGTTGACTCAGGACCGGAGATGGCTCAGGCTGGGATTTGAAGTCTGGACACCATTAGCAAGAAGAGGGAAACATGGGAAACAATCACCAACTCTCACTTGAGCAAAGGCTTAGATGAGTAAAGGCAGCAAGGTGTCTGCAGACTTTGTGCTTGGCACCTCCACCTAAAGATGCTTTTAGTTTTGAAAGATAAACAGTCTCTAGCATGTTCTTCATGTACAAAAGTTGCTCCAGGGCACCCAAAGGAGCCCTCCCCCCTCCCAGGCATTCTGAGAAATTAAAAAAGGAGGATGGGTGGCTCCAGCCCACAGTCTGGTGCGGAAATGTCTCTCTTCACCCAGAAAAAAATACAGAAGTAAGATCAGATTGTCCAGAGGATGTCAGAGGTTAGGAAAGGGTAGCAAGGTAAATGGATGTTTGACGACTGGCTCCACATGGGATGGCAAACATTTTGTAAACAGGCAACCCTTGTGTGACGGCTACATTGTGGGAGCCCCCATCACATGCGCTGAAAAACCCAAAGGGATGCTTCATCAGACAACATTACATTTCCTAACAACAAAATGTTTGTTTGTGTGTAAAAAAAAAAAAGATGGAGGGGGTTATATTGACTTGCTTCTATAGGCCTGAACACTCACCAAAATGGCTGAGGATAGAAGGCTGTGAAGTTGATGATTTCACATCCCAGGATGAGGTTGGAGTTGTGGACACTGGAGAGGTTGTACTGAGAGGACCCTGTGAGGTGAACTGGCCCAAACCTGGAGATTTCAGCTGCTCCAAAATCTGAGAACCAGCAGAGTTGGCTAACTTTGAAGAGCCAAGTTCTCCGAATCCAGAACTGAGCACCGAAGACTAGGAAAAAGGAAGGGGGAAATGTGGTGCACTGAATAACATTCACACTAACTGTATTAAGGTACTGTATCAATGCATTTTATATTAAAAGGAGCAGGTTTAAATTATATATCACCGATAAAAATACAAGTAACTAATGCATCCTTTCCCAGCCTGGTAACCCCAGCCTGTGTGACTTCAACTGCCATAGTACTAGGCATGATAACCATGCTGATCAGTAAATACAAGAGGAAAAAGATTTCTTGACAGCTTTCCCCGATGATATTACAAGGTTTACACTCTTTTAAACTAGGAATGCACAAAAGATTTTGAATCAAAGTGTTCTGAATTTGGAACCGGCTCATTCAAAAGGCTTGGCACATCACCACTACTGCCATTTTATACAATAATAGGGTTGCTTTAGGGCTGTCAGTGGACCAAAGAAATCTTGAGTCAGTTAATCAACTCAATCTGCATATAAATACACTTTCTTTTTAAAAAGCAGCTTTTTGATGCATGTGTACAGCATGTCTCAGAAAGGCATGATTCCCTCCTGTAAAAGGTTATGAGAAATCAAACGTGTCCCTCCCTTCCTTTTTTTGACTATTAATGTTGAGAATAATATTTCTGAAAAGATGTTTTAACAGGTAACAGAGTTTTTAAAAGATTCAGAAGCTAATAAACCATCAATGCAATTTGAATTACTCATTTCGTCTATGGTCTTGTGAATACTATGTAAACTGCAAGTTTCTTGGATAATCTTTGTTGCCCATGAATTAAGGAGTGTAAACATTCAGTTTGCACCCTTTAACTTTAAATACAGTAACTACTTGAGCATATCTGTACCTGTTTCCCTTCTTTTTCCTCTATTACATTATTTCCATTCAAAATCTATTTCTAAAATCCCTGGAACACAAGTTTGCCTTCTTTTCCATTATTCTGTAAGCTGTTGAATACATTGCTGGAAATCATAATAATAGTAAGCAGAGTATCATGGCTCACATATTACTCTAGACCATCATGAGCTTTCATTTTGGCTTAGAGGTACACACCCACCTACTGTGACTTAGAATTACATGCATGCCAGGCACTTATGCCTATTTCAAAAAGCAGTACAGTAGCTAAAAATCCTGACTGCACATTATAAACACATCCAACAGTAATTGATGAACCTAAACAAAATTAAAACTGATAAATGTATCTGAGTTTCAGGAGTGTTAGAAAGGAAGAGCCTACACCATACACTACAGAATAATCTTGATCTGAGAACGCTGATACTGGTTCATATTTGGCCAATTTTTACTAGACTTGAAGACTCAGGAATAGTTGATTTCCACATAAAGCAGTCAGATATGTGCTTGGAAAGAATTCTACATCATAGTCTTCCAGTCTGGAACTACTTGGCATTGCATGAGCAAGGCAACTTTGCAGTAATTATTATGCATGGGGTGTGATCTGTGCTCCTCACAAGAATCATACTAAGTAGGTCACTCCAGCTACTGAGTGGAAGGAGCTAGTAAGCTAGAGCCCAGCTCCCTGGAAGAGTGGAGGTACAAAGGTTATCCTTTGCAAAAGGCTGCTAGAGTTCTGCAACCCCGGAATGCCAAAGCCATCTGATTTTGTTTTTCAGATCCACAGCAAAGGCAGCAAAGTCTTTTCAGAGGAGGAGACTGCTCAGCATTCTGAGTAACCCAACGGACATTACCAGGCTTTGTGGAGAGTAAGTGTTCACAGTGCTTGGATTGATTGTTCCCAAGGCCATTTGAGGATTGTGCTGGGAATTGGTGAAGACTAGTGCCTGACCAAAGTTTTGCTGCTGAGGAGTATCAAAGGAAGTGGCCTCCATGTCTTGGCTAGAAGCACCAGGATTCTGAAGCAGCGTCACCAGGTCAATGCTATGTATGAAAGGGAGAGAGAGAGAGAGAGAGAGAATTAGAGGATGGAAGGACCCTAAAAAGAGAGATTAGGAGAAATCATAGTAGTCAAGGACTCCTCAGTACATATGGGGGGCAGTGTGATTAATGGTGAAAGTACTGGACTAAGACTGAGGAACCCAGGTTCAAGCCCACCCTCAGTCAGAGCAATTCCCTAGGTGACATCGGGCCAGTCAACTTGTCTCAGCTCAATCTACCCCTCAGGTTCACTGCCTGGGAAAGGGGGGCAGGGGGAGGGAGAGATGCTGCCTTGAGCTCCTGGAGGAAAGGCAGGATATAATCTAACAAATAAATAATAAAGGTATAGTCCCTACTTTATCATAGTGCTAGACACAATGGTTTCACTTATTTATTACAAATTAATAACTAAGCACAGGACAGGTGTAGAATAAAACAGTTGATACATGATGCATTACAATCAGTTATAATTTTATGATATAAAGAACCTCTAAAGTAAAAGGTCCATCGCAATGTAATTAATCATCGCAATTAACCTTTATACATGCCAAACAGCATGCAGGAGTATTTATTTATTTAGAAGAATAAATAAATGGGGGGCCATTAAAATGAAGCATTTCTGTTGCATGTTAAGTGATCCAGCTCCAAGTGAGATGGGAGCTGACTCCAAAGAACCAGAGCAATTCATCCCCATCTTCAAAATAGGGAAGCATAGCCCAGGAAATTACAGGCCTGTCAGCTTGATGTCTATACGAAGCAAGGTCCTTGAACAGATTATTCAACCGCGCACTTGTGAGCACTTGGATAGGAATCCAACAATTAGTTGCACTTGACTAATTTTATCTCCATTTTTTGGCAGTGAACTAGCTCAATAGATTGGGGGAATGCCACGGACATAGTGTACCTTGACCTCAGCAGAGCATTTGACAAAGTGTCTCATGATAGCCTCATTAATAAAATGGTAAAATATGACTAGATGGTTTAACTGCTAGATGGATTTATAATTGGCTGAATGATTGCACCCCACATCAGCTTGGAGAGCAGTATCAATTGGAGTGCCACAGGGCTTTGTCCTGGACCCTGTGCGGTCCAACATTTTTATCAATGAGTTGGATGAAGAGGTTGTGAGGAAAACTATCAAATCTGCAGATGACACAGAATTAAGATGAGTAGCCAGCACTTTTTAAAACAGAGAAGATCTACTAGATAAGTATGAATAGTGGGCCAAAACAAATAGTATGAAATATAACCGGAAGCATATAAAGTCTTGATCTGGGAAGAAAATAAATGAAAGGCTCAATATAGGATGGAGGAAACCTGGCTTGGCATATGAGTGTTCAAAAAAATCACAAATGTTACATGAGCCAACAGTGTAATCCAGCTGCTAAAACAGAATCCCAATCAGGGGAAGTGATCATCCCACTTTATTCTGCCTTAGTCATAATGAAATATTGCATCTGTTTCTGGTCACTGCTTTCTGAAAAGGACACTGACAAACTGGAGACAAACTGGAATTCAAAGGACAGCTACTGAGATGGTTAGTAACTAAAGGAACTGAATCTGTTTCGTCTACAGAAGAGGAGACATAGGAGAGGTATGATTAACAATTTCAGTATCTAAGGGGTTAGTGTACAGAAGAGGGACTGGACTTGTTCCTGTCATCCTGGAGGGCAGGACCAGACCCAATGGGCTGGGAGGTAAACTCAGGTTAGATCTTAAAACACATTTCCTGATGGAGGACCTTGAGCTTATATGGAGGTTTTAGCAGAGGAGCGCAGCTATCCTACAGCCTTGACTGAAGAATAGTACATTCCTTCTATCCAGGATGGGACATGGAGTAATGAAGGAGAGAGGGGACACCCATCTAGCCAGCCAGGTCAGTCAAATAAACCCTGGCAACGGAGTGAGAGAAGTTGCATCCAGTTTACCCTTATATCCTGATGGAAAGTGTGGTCAACCAGAGGAACATGCTCCTCATAATGTATTGTGTTCCTCTTCACTGAAAGTCTTCAAATAAAAGCTGGATAGTCATCTCCCCAAAATGGATAATGTACCAAGCAGGAGGCTACAGCAGTTATCTTCTATGATTCTAACTTTCCAAGTTTGAGTGCTTCTTGTCTATGTGTATACGTGTAAATGACTATCATATAATTTATGGACAGGGCCAACACTTCCATCTGATAAAAATGCAACCCAAACTAGCCTACAGGCATATCGTCTCCAGGGCAGGAAAATACCTACCTCTGACCAGAAGCAATATGGTTCTCAGTTGGAACTGATGAAGCTGTGAAGACCTTTGTTTCTGAAAGCTAAGGTATCAGAGAGCAGAGCAGAATAATATATTTCGCATTAATTTTTTTTTCCCTAGGAGATAGTAACAAAAAATGCTAGGTATTTAAAAGATCCAAAGCACAGACCCAGGTGACAAAATTATATAAAATTTGCATGCAGCAATTTACATGTACATGGGCAAACAGGAAATAACTAGAAATGGCACTGCATAAATATTGGGGGAGGGGATATCTGAAAATATAGCTAATGGCTTCATTTTACTCCTGGTAAATTAAAGCTTTTCCCCACACCACGTGTACTTTTAGACTGATGGCAGGCCTCCCAGATATATCAAAGCTTCAGCCTCCCCTGAATGCATGTTCCAAATCAGAATGCGGTTCTCCAGGGCGGACTTGGAGCTTTTCTGCAGTAGACATTGCCAAATATCAACACGTTACTCTCATCCCATGCAAGCCACACAGAAAGCTGCTTTAGCTCAGGTGAAATCCTCACTCTACATAAATCCCACTCCTGCCTCCTTTGTTTGGCAGCAACTCCACAGGATCTTAGCTGAATGCTGAAATCTTTTTAACAGGGAGAGGATTCCAAGGACTGAGTCAGGGATCTTCTCCATGCAAAGAAGAAGCCCTTCCAAAGCGCTGCCTGTTTCACATTGGTCAGCCTCCCAAGTCAAACATATTCAATGTGGGGGCAGTGCACAATCAGGGCATTATGCATTGTGAGAAACTCTGCATCCATTTCCCAGAGTGGCCCAGCTCTTCCTGTGGTCTTTACAAACTGATCCATCACATCTGAGTTACCACACAAGAAATTCACAAAGCTTCAGCAGGAAGGAGCTCCTTCCCCACCAAATTTTCTATTACAACCCCCTTCAAACAGAGGTTTCGCACTTTGCTCCCAGAACTACGAGAGGCCATGCAACAGTGACTGGGAAAAGCAAGTAAGCATCTGTTAAGGAATTGTTATTTCAAGAGGCTACAAATGCCCCAATAAATTGGAAGGGTCAATGGTGTGCTAATGAATGAGTTACACAGTGCAATACTTGCAAGCAAACCCCAAAAGAAAGGAAGGGTGGAAGAGTCTCTATTCCAAAATAAGACCAGCCTATAACTGCCCTCTGCTTGTGGGTGGAACTGATACTCTCGCCTGTAAAGGAAGGTAAACAGAACACTGCCCCAAGACGGTGGCATTTATGAGGTCACTCAATACACCCAGCAGCTGAAACGTGTTTTGTTACACAGAAGCCCGCAAGGTTTCTGGGAAGCAACTTAATCTGCTTGTGAGTAGCGGCCCAGGACAGGCTAACTGAGGCACAACAACAAAAAACAACAAGAATTCCTTCCTGGAAAATGGCAATTCCTTGAAACCAGCAGCTGGTAACTGGGGGCTGCCAGCTGCTTTGCTGGAATCAAATTACCAGTCAGATTCTCTCAGCAAAAATCCTCTCTTGAGAAGCAAGCTCTGCCCCAACTAGTTCTGAGGACAAACTGTGGAGAACCGTCCCTTTAATTTCTTGCTTGTTATTTTTGGTGGCTGAAGGTGAGATCAGAAGCTTCCCAGTTAGACCAGTCCAAAACTATTTCACTTTCAGCCACCAACTGCCCAAGGAAAACAGCATGTGCAGAAGTTTGCAAATCACCCTGAAGGCACACATTCAAACACCCCAGCAAATCCAGCTGGTATCTACTCATGCGCGAATCAGTACAGTTGTATGTTCCATACAAGCATCCTGTAAGTGCAGATTTTCAAAAAGTCATCACGGCACAGGTAGAGGAGATCTCTCTAACCTCTACATAAGTTCTCTGAAAAAATACGTTGGGACAATATCCCAAGATTAAAGTTAGCCAAATAACGTTCAAGCAGTTAATACTGTTTAGCAGCCTGGCAATGTATTCTCTTTCACTCTTTCAAAAGGAACTGGTACTGCCTAATAACAGAACAAACTAAATCTAGACTTACATCTTCGTTCCAATCTTCGGCTGTCCATTCTTCTATTGAATTCTTCCATGCTCCTGTAGTAACAAAAGACTGATCAGATCATCTGCTCATTCTTAAGGAGTAGGAAACCAGTGGCTTGCTGAGTCACAATTCCTAAGCAGCCCAAGCCAGAATGGCCAATGGTTAGGGACATTGGCGGTTGTAGTTGAGGGCCACAGATCTTCCAGGTTTGGGACTACAGATGTAATTAAATCTGACAGATTAAAGATGTAGGAGTGGAACCTATGGGCCACCAATCAACCTTATTGCAAGCTATCAGACATCTGCCGAATAAGGTAAAAATGACACTGCCCTCACTGAAATCAAAAACCAAAACTGTGCTGCTGGACAAGGTCATATTTGCAGAACAAAGCCAGAGCTACCTGCAAACCCGTAAAACCTGCCATCAGATGCTCAGTGTCCTGCCCATCACAGTGATGCAGGTGGGAAAGCTGAGATTAGAAAGGAGCATCTGTTTCTCACATTATTTGAAAAGTTCTGTGCCATGCTTTAGGAGGTGCTCACTACAGCAAACGTTTAAAGTAATAAAAATCATAAACGTACGGAAGAACAAGAATAGGATGCATTGTACCACATAGTTCAACTAGTGTCTTCTAAGTTTTTGTTCAGGCCACCCTTACAAAAGCCACTTCCCAGACCTAACTGCCAACATCTTAACAAGAGGACTGCCAGCCTGCTACTGTGATAAATCATTTTTAAAATATGCAAATTAACAGCCCATAGCAGAAACAGAAGAACCAGGTAAATTCATGGTGAGGACACCCTAGTTCTGGGTCACTATCTTCAGACTGTAAAGTCTGTAGCAGTCAAAATGATCTTTTCAGCTAAAAAAAAAGTTTCATTTTTCTAAATCATTTCAGATGGTGATCTTTTTTTTTTTTAATTTGTTTTCACTGGGATTTTTAAAAATGTTTTTATTTTATTTCGAGGGGCTCACAAACAAGAATTTAAACAAACTGCATCAGGTTGTAAGGATTACTGTCACGTAAGGACATTAAACAGATTTCAAGTAAAGGTTTTTTTTAACATTACTAAGGCAGATTTTATACAAAGTAGAAAACTGGTACATTGAAGATACTAAAATGTTTTTCTAAAAAAGGAACATTCCCAGCCAGGTGAAATATGAACCATGGATTCCCAGAAACAAAAAGTTTCTCTGCTTCAATGCTTCCAAACCACTAGCAATTTTTCCTGCCCTCATGAGAACTAGGAATTTAAAAATAATCACAAAAATGTATCTGGACTTTACTTGAAGATGACATTTATGTACAGGTGAGTTTTCTGGGGGCTCTTCTGGGAAAGAGTACCCACAGCCACCTTAAACAAGAAAGATTGCAACCTGACCTGCTTCAATTGGTTTGCAAACCAGGAATCTCATATATAAAGCTGTTGTAAAAACATCTCTTCCATCTGCCCTGCAAACATGTTAAGATTCATTTGTTTGTTTTACATTCATCAGTCCCCTTTCTGTTCATGCTTTAGACTAAACAAGTTATCAGAAGAAAGAAATTCTGAAAAATGGGTAAAAGTGCAGTGGTAGCATGTGGAAAATTTAAGACAGACACACCAGTCTTCTCAGGTCTCTTCCTTGTGGTGCAGATCAGAGTAAGAAGAAGAATTCCCAAACAATTTCGACAGAGAAGATCAAAGAACTACCCAGCTTGGTATAAAGTGTGTGCAACTACTTTTCCCCTTTAAGGGGGGTCAGGATCAGTGGTGACTAGAAAACCAAGGCTTTTAGAGTTTTTAGGGAAATAATCCACATCATTCACACACACACCCAAAAAAGTGCCAATGGAAAACTTTCTGCGGGTAAGATTACAGAAAGCATATACGCCTTACCTTCAACTATTCTTAGAAAAGGACTGCACATTCTTCTGTATCAGGAAACACACAGTAATATCACCCGCTGTTGACAATTTGGGGCAGACTTGTAATCTGAAAACTTTTTGTTTCCTCACCTGTCCCATCATCTGCATCATTCTCTCCAGGTTCCCAAGTCTCCTGTTTTGCTCCAAAGCCATCTGTGGCAGAAGAATCGGTATAATCTGCAGGGTTAAATGTCCTACAGGTCAAGAGAGTTGGAGAAAGTCAGAAATCTAGAGAAAGCGAGGCTTAAGTACCTGTCTGGTCAGCCTAGCCCAGCATTTTCCTTTCCAACCTATAGAGGCCCCAGAGGTCTTTCAGCCGCCACTACTTCTGGGGATTGAGCCTGGGACTCCATGCATGTCAAGCATGTGCTCTTCTGGAAAAATCAAGAATAGGGAAGGGCCACCAAGATTGTGCATATCCAGGAACTATAAAAGGAAGTCCCTCCATGTATAGCATCTACAGCATTAGTGAAGCTAGGAATGAATGGGGAGAAGAGAAAAACTGCTTTAATAAAATTCCTACTAGGGATCTGAAAAACATTTCCTTTTGAACTGGTTTGAACACTTCTAGAATGCTTGAAACAGGACATTTCACAAAGTGGAATGTTTTGTGGGTGTTCACACTCAAAAGCGTCTAAAACAATAGAACAGATCTATAGATAAAATAGATCAAGTCATAGAATCAAAATTTCCAGGTTGAAAAGGGAGTAGAACTTTGGGTGGGTGCGGAGACAGACAGAAAAGCAATCAGTAGTGTAACTCAGCGCAAGATAGCTCCTCTTAGGTATATTAGTCAACACTCAACACTGAAAACAATCCCTTTAAATGTCAAGGTTGCATGGATACATTTGTCAATTCAAACACATCTGCTAACAAAAAGTTGTTCTTCTTCTTCTTAGCATTTGTTCCGCATGGTTGCAGGTCCACTTTACTTATTTACTTACTATAGCAATTTATATAGCTGCCCACTCTGCAATTGTGACTCTGGGTGGCAAACACAAGATCAAAATCATCAAAGACCACTAAAGCAAAAATAATTTAAAAAAAAACCTGTTTCTGAACTGTGCTCACCTAATTCTTATGGCAAAGTTATCAATCCATGATGCAACAAGCTCTTAGTTATCAGCCAGCTCCTCACAGAGCCTGAGAGGGAATGACTGGCCTAAGGTCATCCAACTGGCTTCCATGCCTAAGAGAGGATTATAACCTGGTCCCCCTGCGCCTAGTCCAGTACCATGACTACACCATGCTGGCTCTCTATTTGCTAGCAAAAAAAAAACCATGCAGTTAATCTGATGTTGCCATAAGCGTCAAGAAACAACCACTATCAACTACCTACAGAAGATAAAGACTCAGAAATACTCAACAGGAAGATAAGAGAATCGAGTAAGCTTACATAGTTTAAATCATTAAGATGGGCTTTATTAATGTTTACACCATGCCAGATTCCTAATTTCCAAATTATTTTACAGCAAAAACTAGTTTTGCAGCACTTTAAAGAATAGCATATTCATTACTGCATACAGTTTACTGTTCATTTCATGTTATATCAGGTCAACAGATGTTCAATTTCCAATGCTCTAACCTCTCAACCAGGACGCCTCCGAGTGCAGCTAGGCAACCCTCATTTTGGGTTCTACAGTCTGCTTGATCTCACTGACAAATTAAGGTAGTTTTATCTTTAAAACATTTCCATAATATATTACTCTATGCCACAGAGTATGCAAGTGCATGCTATCCAATAATAAACAAAGAAAGCAACACTTAAGGAGGCTTTCCTGGAAGATGGTCTTTGGGTATGCTATTATTCCCTCTCTCCTTCCACTGTATCTGGCAATTTTCCTAGAGGCCATATTCAATAGCATCCTTGGCAAAAGCAAAACAAAAAATCCCACGTATTTCCGCCGCTGGGCTTTTACACAGCTCTGTAGCAGCTGCTAGGTGCTTAGTAGTTATTGCTGATACAGACACCTGCTTTGAACCATTATGTTCAGAGCTGCTGCGGGGCAGGAGCTAA